GGTGGTGCTATGTACTATGACTAGCATAGGCTCAAAAATGGGCCGTTTTGTTATTTCTGTCTACTATATTATGAACTTAATAGCAAAAACTCTTATTAAACAAATATCTGGCATATTCTGAACATTCATCTCATGACTTGTAAGCGTAAAGGGGTATATCACAACATTTAGTGTTTAAATATTTGACTCCTTTAAGTATCAGTCATCCTTATTTGTTTAGATGGAGAAAAACCCTGTGAGTAATATCAAGCCAAGTGACATTTGTGGTTTATGAATAGTCAGTTCAAGCTAATAGGTTAGGAATATCTGGTCTGTCCTACCCTGTTTCAATCTCTTAAGTAAAAACAAAATTTTGATTCTAAATTATAGCCACTGGTTGATTTATTTGTATTGTTTTAGCCATGCTAAGTCAATGAATGTTTTGAAACTATAATAAAACGGTTTCGTTGATAAAATAATTTATGTAAATGTAATTTAAGCCTACATTTTAAGGTTCTATATTTTAAAAATAAAGATGACATGGTCCAAATGTGCTCTTGAATGAAATATATAGGGAACTCATTTAGCATATGAAATATACTCTTCCCTGGGTTTTAGACCAAAATTACAACTTGCTTAACAAATGTGAAAAATAATATCCCCTGTTGCACAGTAACTTACATTGTATCAATTTGTTTTTGTTAGTATCAGGTTATAATATATTTTCATAAAATCAAAATATATTTACAGTAATATTAAAGGAAGTAGTACTATGTATTTAATAGTTGGTAAATTAATGAAATTATTTTCTCATGATTAAACCATTACTTTATGTGTGTGAAGTGATCAAATTAATATATAGAACCATAAAATCCTGCAATGTACAAGGTTACTATAGAGTATTGTCAGAACTTGGAATTTTATCACCTCCTGTACAGAAATATTGGACTAACAATATTTTGCCTCCTGTGCTCAGAATATTATTTTAGAAATAAGGAAAAACTGTTCAGAGAGACTGTACATTGCTGTCTTTGTGATTTTAATGAAAAAGTAAATTTGCCTCATAAAGATTTTAGAAGTCGATGAAACAATATTACACAGATATAATGTGACAAATAGTAGGTGAAATTTTGAGGAAAATGAACTGTTGGTGACAAGTTGAACTTACTAGAACGATCTTCTTGTCAGAAAAAGCTTTGATACTGTTTTAAAGGAAGAAATGAGCTCGTTCCTCCCCTCCCCCCCGAAAAGCTAAAACAAGCAGAAAGACTCAGATTTGCCTGTGCAGGAGACTGGAAGCGTCTCAGTCTGACTAATGCAAAGGTTATTCTGTCATTTAACAATGATATGATTGACTTCTGATTTTATCTTTAAGTTCATAATAAGAGGCTGCTTAGCATGATAAAGACACAGACATGAATCAAAACCGTTCTCTATTCACTCTAGCAGCTTACTTTCTGAGCTCTGGTTATGAGTAAGAATGCCAGTCTCATGGTTCGGTTGTGAGGCTTAAAGGTGCTAATCTGTGTACAATGCTTGGCACATGATGCGCTCTAAGCAAATATTAGTCCTTTTCTCTCTACTAGTCAAACACAACACTGCGCTCTGTGATCAGGAGAAGTTAAGCTTTATTGTCTCCATTTCAGGATCAAATACAGCCCATGAGGAAAAGGTTGAGTGTATGACGAACTTTATTTTGGCTGCTCAGCCGTTCTCTGTAAACATGCTCAGGTGGTTTAAAGAGGAATCAGAAATGGTGCCAAGGTCCAGCAGGAGCTTTGGCCTGCACTCCTCCTGTGCACCAGCCACTGTGCTAAGTGGGTACGGGCACAGGGATTGCTCTTCAGAATCGTTCCCAGGAACAGGCCCCGCAGAGGGGAATGCTGGGCTAGGGCTGAGTTTACCTGAAAGGTAAAGAGCTCAGGCTTCAGAGACCCTCACCTGCCAAGTCCCTTCTTAGACATGTATCTCATTTGTGTTTGTAATTTACATTCTTCTCCTTAAAGAGGGCCCTCCAATCAGATAACCTTCAGGCCCCATAAATCCAGCATCTGCTCTAACTAGACTTGTCAGGTAAAAGAAAAAAAGTCTATACAATTTTTTTTTTGGTAATGTATTTTTATTGATTTCAAAGAAGGGAGGGAGAGAGAGAGAGAGAAGCATTAATCATGAGAGGGAATCATTGATTAGCTGCCTCCTGTATGCCCCCTATAGGGGATCTGGCCCACAACCTGGGCATGTGCCCTTCAGTTTGCAGGCCGACACTCTATCCACTGAGCCAAACCAGCCAGGGCTTGATACAATTTTAAAAGGATGGATTGTCCAATAGCAGAAAAAGTAAGTATTGCTTATATTGACCAAATAATGAGTTGTTAGTAACCTTTGACCACAGATGCTCTTTGCCCTTAACCACAGAAGGTGGTGTCTAGTTCAGCATCTGCCCAAGAATTATCCATGTCAAGAAGTGAGGAAGGGGCCACCTGGCAATCAGGAGGTGTGCTATTGCATTGCCCACGTTACTCGAATTTTTCGGTGCATAAAGGGGAACCAGTATTACATTGTTCTGACTCAGTAGGTGTCAAACAGTGGGTGGAGCCCTGTACATGCATTATCACATTAAGTAGTATTGAAAATGAGGCTTGGGAGAAGTCAAGTAACTTTTTTTCCCCATTGATCTCAGAGAAGCAGGGAGAGGGAGTAAGAGAGAGAAGCATAATGATGAGAAGCACTAATTGGCTGCCTCCTGCATGCTCCCTAGGGGGGTTGAGCCCACCACTCAGGCAGATGCCCTGACCCAGAATCAGACTGTGACCTTTGATTCATAGGTCGACTCTCAACTACTGAGCCACGCTGGCCGGGCTCGAGTAACTTTTTTAGACAGCTCGTGGAGGCAGAATTTAAACAGAGAGCTTCTTCAAATCAAAACTCAGGCTCTTTCAACCTCCCCATGTGGCCAACGGTTACCTGCTGAGAATCAGCCATGGGGAGAGAATGGATATTTAACCCACAATCCACCTCATGATTTTGAATACCTAGCATCCCGTCAGAAACTTAGTGCACTGTTCTTCCTTGGTCCCTTCACGGAACTTGGATTAAGTGCCTGTAATGTGCTGCCCTGTACTTAGTTATTATCTCTTCAAAATTGTCACTGTCCTCTAGAAGCTTTCCAGATGGGTGCGCAGGTAGACAGGCAGATAGATAGATGATTGATAGATAGATAGATAGATAGATAGATAGATAGATAGATAGATAGATAGATAGGCAGGCCTATGCTCTATCGACCGAGCCAAACTGTTTTCTGCGAACATTATTTTAAAGGAAAAATGTAAAGTCATGGACTGTGGCCAAAGCTTAACTAAAAAGAGTCAAGCAACCACTGGAGGTTTGTTTTGTTTTTTAATATTTTTTATTGATTTTTTTTTTACAGAGAGGAAGATAGAGGGATAGTTAGAAACATCACTGAGAGAGAATCAGCTGCCTCTTGCACATCCCCTGCTGGGGATGTGCCCGCAACCAACATACATGCCCTTGACTGGAATTGAACCCAGGACCTTTCAATCCGCAGGCCAACGCTCTATCCACTGAACCAAACCGGTTTCAGCACCACTGGAAGTTTTGACTCACATGATTACATGTGACGTTCTCAATTGTATTAAAATATTCACTGAACACTAGTCCCAAAGCAGTGTCATGGGTTGAAATGCTCAATAGTCAAGTGGTATTGGAGACATTTTAAATAAATTTCCTAAATAAAGATATAATGATTAAAAATATATGTATGGTAAGAATAAGTGGGATGTAGCTTGAATGTAGTAAGTGCCTGCCTACTCATAGTGAAATGGGAAGGCTGCTTTTATTGGTCCTGTTTCAATCACATGAGAGTGGGACAGTGTTACCAACCCTTTTTTATGAAATACTAAGTTCTCTTTCATGAATGCTCACCTAAGAAACTAAGTGTGCACATCCTGGAATGGAAGATGGCGCCAATTTATGAGTGTCCGTGAGGATTCTGTCTGTGCCAAGTATCCAGTTATATCTCAAAGAGTAAAATCAGTGCTGAGACAGTAACTGCCGCATTGGGTATATGGTGGACTAGTTAAGAATAAGAGTCTTGTTGCATTAAGGGTGAAGTTGTATTTTATGTAACTTGGCTGCAACAATTGAGGAAGGTGTTAGTTGCACAAATAGAATTCTATAAACAGTTCTATACACATATTTGCAAATGATACTCAGTTGGACACTAAAATGGTATTATGAATAAACTTCTAGCTCCTAACATTTCCTTCCATACAAAGAGCTTTCTGCTCCTTGATGTTTATTCAGAAAAGTTTTACATAATACGGGCTTTTAAGGAATACTCTATCTCCTCTTTAATATATATATATATATATATATATATATATATATATATATATATTTTTTTTTTTTTTTATTGACTTTTTACAGAGAGGGAGAGATAGAGAGTTAGAAACATCAATGAAAGAGAATCATCGATCAGCTGCCTCCTGCACACTCCCTACTGAGAATGTGCCCACAACCAAGGTTCATGCCCTTAATCAGAATCGAACCTGGGACCCTTCAGTCCGCAGGCTGGTACTCTATCCACTGAGCCAAACCGGTTTCGGCTCTTTATCTCCTCTTATTCCTGCAGTCACCTTGTTGAACACAGCTTACACAACATCCCCTTTTCCAGCATCTTAAAATGCCTCCTGACCATTGAGTTGGGTGTTTGTCTAGAAAGGCATGTGACCTTTTTTGGGATGCGTTAGTTTAAACATTAGTCATAACCAGCCAACAGCATGAGTACCTGAAATGTTACTGAGCTTTGCACACATGAAGTGTTTGACACAAAGACGATCCTGGAGAACATGATTGCGAGCAAATTGGAAGGCTCAGGACTGCTGTGTAAGAAAGGTTCATCTGGTGGCAAAACTTGCAGATGTTGTTTCATACATTTGCCAGATTGACTTGCTGAAAGTTTTAATCGCCTTTCCTTCCCTTCCCCTCTTTTGCGGACACAGATCCACATCCAGAGAACTGAAGGGTGTGATCACATGACCTGTTCACAGTGTAACACTAATTTTTGTTATCGATGTGGGGAGAGATACCGCCAGCTCCGTTTCTTTGGAGACCACACATCAAACCTCAGTATATTTGGATGCAAATATCGCTACCTCCCAGAGAGACCTCATCTAAGGAGATTCGTGCGAGGGTCGGTCTGTGGTAAGTACGGGACATGACCTTGGGGAATCTTCTCTGGGGAAGTGGGCAGTGATAGCAGAACTCAGAAATGGAATAGCCACGGTAATGCTGACCACTACCAGCTAGCCGAGTGGGGCCTTTGCCCCCAAACAAGAGGGAGATATTCTCTCTCCCTTCGAGTTTACAATGAAAAACTTACGTTTCTAGGCAGGACTGTCTTATATGAGCCACCAAGTTTTGTTCAAAATACAAATTATTCATTACTCTGAAAAAATGTAAAATTAATTTTAAATTTCTGTAACCTATTGTAAGGCACCTATTGAGAGAAATGTCACATTTATTTTTAAATTGACAATACCTAGCAGTGAATCTTACACCTAACTTCTCTTTATTCATAGAGGAAATACTATACAGTTAAAAAAAAAAAATCCATATGTTTCAGAGCCCATAATGGAGTTCTGTTGTATCCAAACAGTTGATACGTCACTGTATATCTTTCCTAATGTATTAATAGCTAACAGTTAATGTACTGAATAGCAAATGCCCTCAGAGCATACAACAGCTTTGTTGTGTGCTCCATACAACAGCACACAACGTCATACATAAATATGCAAACATAAACACAGGTTTTTGCTCTGGCCTGGTTCCACCTTCATGTGGGCAGTTCTTCAGACCTCATAGTTGTTTCAGTAGCACTGCACTCCCCTGGAATGAACCCCCTACGGATCTCTTCCTCTCTTTTCCTCACAAAGGACTCCATTGTGTCTTTCTGTGGTAGCTTCCCATGTATATGCAACACTAGTTAACATCTTCCCCATGGCCCGCTTTCTACCTCCTTTTGTCTAGTGACTTCATGGAACTGTTGTAGAGCCCTCTTTAGCCCTCCATCACTGCTATTGTAAACCACTCCCCTCTCCAGAATCATGTGATGGTTAATCAGACCTAAGCTGGTGCTGAGGATACATTCCCAGCAGGTAAAAAAGAGAACATGTATTTTAGAATTCACTTTAATTTATGGAGACCAGTGTGATCATTTTCTAAAATCTTCTATAACCTCTATAAAAATGTCCTTACGGAAATTCAAACGTAATTTTCCATAGCCAAACATAATTCAATATAGTCAACCTTGGTTTTAATCATTTCCAAGTATTTGATTTGCTTATAATGGTATAGGATATAATTAGATAACCAATATTTATTTATCAGTTTAATAGACTTGGGAGGGATATCCAGGGAATCTAACCGCTATTGATAATAGTAATACCATGAGAAAACTAATTGCAAATTAAGTTTGAGTTGTAACCTATTTGTAAGTCTATGCATGCAGAGAACAACCTAAACACACAAAATCCTAAATTTTTTGCATTGTTCTTTTCTTCCTTCTTCAGTGCCATTTAATGGCGTGATTGTTCTTTTCCTTCCATTCACTAGAATCCTCTTCTCAGGCAAGAGTCTAGTTATTTAGCAGCCGGTAGAATGCACAGCCCATGAACCAGTGGTTCTCAGCCTCTGGGTCACGATCCTTTTGGGGGTCAAACTGTCCTTTCACAGGGGTCAGCTAAGACATCCTGCCTATCAGATAAATGTGATTCATAACAGTAGCAAAGTTACAGTTATGAAGTAGCAACAAAAATAATTTTATGGTTGGGGGTCACCACAGCATGAGGAACTGTATTAGAGGGTCATGGCATTAAGAAGGTTGAGAACCCTGCCCTAGACATTGTCAGCAGGGAAATGTTTTCTCTGTTCCTTCTTTTCTGTTTTTATTTAAAAACACTACAGTCAGCTTTCTCTAAATGATCTTCTTTTGGGCCTGATTTCTGTTCTGAGTGTGTGTGCATGTGTCAGAACAAACCTGCAAAGCAGGAGCAGCTGGCCTTGGGATAAGCTCTCCCTTCCATACAGACCTTCCACCTCCAGCGCAGCTGCCTCTGACTCCCGTGGACCAAACTCCCCGTGGAGTGGCTCCCACTTCTCCCATCTGCACAGAAGGCAGGACAAGGGGTTACTCTGTCACAGGGGTCACCTTTGCTGCCACATAAGAGGGGAGAAGGATTGGTCCTAGGGAAGTCCTCCTGCTCGCTGTTCTTTTGTGATGTAACCCAGTTTGCTCCCTTGGTTAGGGACCACCACCTCCAGATGTCCTTGGACAGAGGCACAGAGGGGCTGTTCTTCTCTCACAGCTGGAGGGTGGGAGCCATGGTCTACACTGTGGATAGCCACAAGGCCAGTTAGAGATCAGAGGTTCTGGAGAACAATGGGGATCAGGGATATGAGGGCAATTAGCCGCCTCTGACGGGGAGCATCTCCCTTGGAGAGAGGAAGAGTATTCAGTGAATGGTTTGGGGAATAAAAGTGAGGGAAAATGCTCCATTCTTATATTGTTCCATACAAATATACAAAGCATCAAATTAAAGCATATAATGGCAAAGAAAGTACAGATCTTTAGTTGATTTCTAGATTACAAATAATTTATATGAACAAAAACAATGGCATCCCTCAAATAAAAATTTTTTAAGAGGACAAAGAAGCCTGGAACTAGAATTGAAGACATAGAGGCTGGACTTTCCTACTTTACTGAATGAATTGGAAATTTAGTGCAATTCTTTTGCAAAGGAATTTGAAAGTAACGTGAAGGACATTTTAAAATGTATCTAGATAGTCAACAACAGTATTTGCAAGTATAATTTAAAATAGCAATGAAAGGTAAAGATTAAGCTTAAGAATAAATAAGATATGATAAATGGATATGAAAAAACATTATTTATTTTAACTATTGAGAATGGTATTTTAAAAGAATTGTTAGTGATCTATGAATAAAAGAATGTATGCTTAATCCCTCAAGATAGTTTCAAAAGTAGACTTAAACATGCATTAAATTTTGATTACATGATTGGAATAAGTTTATTACTTCCTAAAGAGAAAAAGCAGGTATCTGAGTCTTGGAGTTCTGTAATGGTTGGGGGAAGATCAATGCTGTTACTTTGTAGTCATGTTTCATTGCTATTATAAAAATATACTAATAATTATTTTAAAAGGATACATGAATTAACATACTGAGCTACATGCACAGGAGAGAAACAGATTCTTTTCAAATATGCAAGCCAAGCTCAGCCAGTGTGGCTCAGTGGTTGAGTGTTGACCCATGCACCAAGAGGTCACTCGTTCGATTCTGGGTCAGGGCACATACCCAGATTGCATGCTAGGTCCCCAGTTGGAGGTGTGCAGGAAGCAGCTGATCAATGTTTCTCTGTCATCAATGTTTCTGTCTCTCTTTTTCTTTCTCCATTTCCCTTTTTCTCTTTCTAAAAATAAATAAAGACATATTTTAATAAATAAAATATGCAAGCCAATATATTCTAACCAGTTTAACATAGCTTTAAGAATGAACAAAATGGCCGAAACCGGTTTGGCTCAATGGATAAAGCGTCGGCTTGGGGACTGAAAGGTCCCAGGTTCGATTACGGTCAAGGGCATGTACCTTGGTTGCGGGCACATCCCCAGCAGGGGGTGTGCAAGAGGCAGCTGATCAATGACTCATTCTCATCGATGTTTCTCTCTATCTCTCTCCCTTCCTCTCTGTACAAAATCAGTAAAATATATTAAAAAAAAAAAAAAAAGAATAAACAAAATGTGATTGTTCAGTGAGATTTAGTATTACTAAATTGGGTTCTGTCATTGGTGAAAACTATAAGTAAAGCCCAGAGTGTCAATTGTGTCAATTGAATGGCAATCTTTTACAATTACATGTTAAAAACTGTATTTTCTATCTGTCTGGTCATGATACCAAATGGTTCCAAAGACCATTTCTTAAGAATAAAAATACTGACATTTTTCCTGGCTTCCTTATGTTTCTATTGTTTTTGTGTAATTGGGTATTCCAAATTACTGTCCTTCATCTGTGGAATAGTGTTGCTGCTTTATATTTAAACAGCTAAGTGTTTCTACTGCCAAGTCCCTCCATTCCTTCCTCATCTCTTTGTGTGTCTGAGCTCTGCATCTACACTCTATGTCACATGCCTTAGGGTGAAGATGATTGATTAAGACATAACAACAGGATATTAACTGTTAGGCTTCTGTGTGTGTGCTAGTGCCTTTCAGAGTTCGTGGGATTCTGATTGTGAACTCTGCTGTGTTTGCATATACCTGGAGTTTATTGTAGTCAGTGCTCAATTATCTATTTAGGGGGGGAAAAAAGACTGATGGATGCCTTTTGGCATCCTTATCAACATTTAGCCTTAGCGCTTATTATAGAGAGCTTCCTTTTAAAATTTGTTAAGATGATTTACTTGAATAACTTCTGATATATTGTATGTTTATTGGTTGTTTCCTCTAAAATAGTACTGCAATATCTTGTTTATAGTTGTTTATTAGGTGTTCATATTGTTTCCTTTGGACCGGGAAGGAAATAAATCACTTTTCCAGAGGTAGGATTGGGCAGAGCACCTATAAGCTCTCCATTCTCTGAGCTAATTATATTTTTGAGATACAACTCAGATTGTGTCACTCCTTAATCTTTCAGAATCTTGAAAATTGAACATGGAGGAAACTTAAGGGGAAAACACAAAGATGAATGGTCCTGGGGAAATAAAGTGAGCCAGTAGCTTCGTAACTTTTTTGCTTATAAAGGATCAATGGTTTATGAGATGTTGGACTAATGTGCCCAGGGCTGCAGTGAAGTTACCAAACCTACATCTGTATATAATGGTTTTACACCTGATACATTTCCTTAGAGAAACACTGCCTTCCTTATCATTAGACTTCCTTTAAAAAGTAATATACACTGTGGTATTAAAAACATAGCTGAAATGGTTGGATATTATGATTTGCTCTAAGACTCTAAATGGTTTTGCCTTTTGTTTTACAGCTGGAAAATTATTTGTTGCACCTCTAATCCTGGTCCTGGGATTAGCACTAGGGGCCATAGCAGTTGTAATTGGTAAGAAACATTTAACATATCTGAGATTGGCATTCTCTGAGTGCCATAGAGAATGAGTGCAAATGTAATAATGTGAGTCTGTTATTAAGTGGACATGATATCTGTTCCATGCTTGCTTTAGATAGGCAACTGATTTACAGATTCAGAAGCTCATATTTCATACAGGATATATTTGTGTGGCACTTGTTTAGTCAATGGACATTTTGTACCAGGTATCTTATAAAGCCCCCTTTTAACCCCCTTTTAAATAATGATTTTCATACAACTAGTATTTTAATAAAACAGACCAGTGGCCTAGAGCCCAGATTTTTAAATTCTGAGTTCAGGTTGGATCATCAAAGAAAAAAGGCTCCAGTACATACACCCTGGGATGTTTGGTTTGTTCTAGTGAAAGAGTGCCCTGGGTGGGAAAAGATACCTTTGAATGATAAGAACATATACCCAACATATACTTGAGCACTGACAAATCAAAACTGTATCAGCGATTTTTATAGTTTTGTGCACAGAAACATAGTAAAATACGTTTTTGAAAGCAGTGGTTTCTGAGACTCTAGCTTTAAACCACCCCGGAGGGCTGGGCCGGTTTAAGCACAGGCCGTGGACCCCTCTCCGCAGTTTGTGATTCAGTGTCAGGGCAGTGCCCATGGGTTTTTAGTTCCAAAAATGTCTCAGGTGCTGCTGGTGCTGCAGGACCAGAGACCACACGTTCACAGTCACTGCTGTAGAGCACATTAAATTAAATGCTCTCGGTAGAGGCACCTCTGATGCCTTTCACATAGTGGACGGCATTGTTTTTTTTCTAAATAATACTATTAACTTTTCACATATAAAGTTCTATTTAGCGAGTAATTTGCACATATAGGACAGGTGGAATTATAAAGTAACTGATGTTTATTACAATGAGCCAGTCTTTATGTAGTAGATACTATTGCTATCTGCATTTTACAGTTGAGGAAACGAAGGCTTCCTGGGCCCTTTAAGTGGTAGAGCTGGGGATGAAATCTGACATTTGGCCCCACAGCCCATGTTGTTAAGTAGCACATTATTCTGTCTACATTAGGGATATCATAATATGCAAAAGGTATAACTAGAGCTAATAAATAAGACTTAATCCTAAGGTTTGATATTTTGATAGAAAACATGGTTCCATTTTCAAACTGGAATCACTGAGACTGAGAAAGAGGGGAGAGACCTAAAGAAAAATAACAAAGAATGAGATCTTATAGAAGTAAATACATTTTGTGCCATAGGTATCTCTCCTCTTTTCACTTTCATATATGGCTAAATTATGATGATTTGTAAATCATTTTCAAAATGGAAGATTTTCAACTATGTAAACTGAAATGCCTCTCCTTCTAATGAGCTCACTGTGTTTTGTTTTGTTTTAATCCCTAGGTTTATTTGTATTTCCTATCTATTGCCTTTGTAAAAAACAGAGAAAACGATCACGGACAGGTATGCACTGGTGAAGTGCACATCATTTCACCTACCTAAGCTGGTCCGGGTCAGAGCTATCCAGAATGGCACACTCGCCTGAGAGTTGCGTCTTGAAACACAGCGAGAGGACCCTTCTGCCATCTCGTGTCTCTGTGGCTCTCTGCAGGTCACGATGCCTCGAGCTCCGTTGCACTCCCCACATGGTACCCTGGCCTTTCCTGGTGTTGATTGCTGCTTTTACAAAATGGTCACTTTCATATACTATAAATACCTATGTCATAATTCTGATCTTCTTAATGGGTCTTGGAAGAAATTATTTTGCGGGAGAACCAGTTACCCCCAGCACTGTCTGAGCATGCCTCTCCCGAGAGTTGCTTGGACTGTCTTTGTACCTGAACCCTCCTCCAGCCCATCTCTGAGACTTGGTGTGAGCAACCAAAGTCCCATCTGTCCCAACAAGCAAGGCCACTTTCCAGCAGATAAAGGCTCACCCTGCTTTCCTCTGTGGCCCACACAGAGTAATTGCTTCCTCCTTCAGATGCTGTCATTGTTTAAAAAAAAAAAAAAATCTCAGTGCCCAAAGGGAACTAATGAAGTTGTTGAAAAGAATTATGAGTTACTGAAGTGTATACGTGTAGGGGTGTGAATGTGTGTGTGTATAAAGATTTGTATTGAAATTCGACCCATTGACCTTGTACTGGTCAACTTCCATGCCTCTACACTATTTTCCCACATTTTCATAGATCTCTTTAAAGATGATGGTTCCTTTGTGAGCATTATTTGAGAATGTACTGAATTAAAGTCCATTTAGACAACAGGCTCTTTCGATTGTTGACCCTTTTCTATTTCTTGCTCTCTCTTTGTCACACACATGCACACACGCACACACACACACACACAAATGTGTGCCTTGTCACCCAAGGATTATCAAACTTTATAAACTGACAAAACTGATTGACTAGTTTTAGGAAATTCTCAAGACCTCAACATTCAGTCTTTCAGTTTTATATTTTGGCTTACATGTTTCACTATATGAATAAAAATTTTAATTTTTATTCATATAGTTTCACTATATGAATAAAAATTAAAGAATTAGTTAATTTAAATGGCAGGATTGCTGTGGAAAAGACTGCTTAAGCCTTTAAATCCCCATTCTGCTAATTTTTTTTTAATAACTTGTAATTACAAGTAATTCTGCTTTAGGTCAAGGTGTAGCATTATTTACTCTATCTTCTTACCTCTTTCTCTTTTTAATTTGTCCCCAAGTTTTATTATTTTTGAAAGATTTTTTTCTTATGTCTACTGCTCATGTGCATAATAATGTGTTGGTATCTTCTCATAGAGGGGTAAATTTTTTTTTTAAAAAGTTGGTATTTATGGGTTTATCTAAAATATAAACTGCTTTTGGAGAAGGAAACCAAAAAAATGAAGGAAATATTTTTAGGAAGTTTTACCAAGCTGAAAAGTTGTCGTAACTAAATTATGTTATTTCTTTGTTTTCATCACAAAAGTTCATCAGCAGAAGGGAAGTAAAGACCCCTAAGAAGACTAATTTTCACTTGTTTTCAAATGCTTAAAATTAGTTATCTGCATAGGTATAGCATTAATTTCACAGCAACCTTGTGTGAGTTGAAATAGATGATGTGAAAAACATGCATTAACATTGATAGTGTGTCTTGTTGAATTCCAAAGTATAAGAACATTTATGATTTTTATTTTATCTAAAAGTCAATGATATTCAAATTTCTGCATGACACTCAGAATAGCTATATCTAGTTAGAGGAGGGTGTGCCCTATGGTTCTGGAATGTCAGATTACTAAAGGATAACATGATATCAGAAAAAAGTGATGTGTTATATAATTTCACAATATCATCTTTCCATCCATCCATTCATTTGACAAATATTTATTGAGTGCTTATTCTACATGCTCTAGTATTAAAACTGAGAGAATAAGAATTTCCATCTTAAATCCATGTAATTTTTCCTAAAGTGCTTAATTTTTGTAAATTTGTCTCTTCCAGATTTAGGTATTAGTTTGACGATACGTGAATATAATAATTCTAATCTAGTGGATATGGTTATGTGTGATATGTCTGTCTGTATATATACTATTTCTATAGAAACATGTATATATATATTATCCATATATTTATGTAGGATATATATGTATACATATACAATATCTCTGTAGATACATATGAATACATATGCCACAAACATATATATATATATATATCAACTCGCTAAATAATATGCTCACTGGTCTTAGATAATCTATTTTCTTAGGTGTTGTGTCTGTTGCCTTTGGCCTACTCAGGGATTTTTATTTCTTTCTTTGAATAACTATTCTTTGGAAGATACTTTTATATTATTTGGAAACGTTCCAATTTTCCAATTACCAAGTGGTATTTGTTACCAGTGAAGGCTTTCATCAATGCTTCAGCAAGCATGTATTGTGTTGCATAGGATTGTCCTTTTTCTATAGCATGGATTTTTAAAAAATGTATGTGTGTTTTCTCTTTAAAAGTTGTTATAGATGGGGCCTTTTCTTGTTGGTGACTTACTGTAATTATGTGTGATTTTTTAAAACTAAGTGGCATTAAGATCTTAGAAAGAGAGAAGGAAATAAAAAGGATTATTTATATGTCAGTGCCAACATTGAAGTTAAAACAATAGTAATAACTTTTGGAATGAATGACAAAAACTACTTTAGAGAAGGAAGCGTACACATAAAATATCTTTCTATCTAAAGCTTGTCATTTTTATATGTTTTTATTGTAAATTTAATATATACGTTTTTTTAAAAATCAAGTCATATAGAATTCTAACATACAACTTTCTCTACTTAACCCACTCCTTATTTTCTAGGGGTAGACTCTGTTAGTAATTTGGTATGTGTCCTTCCAGACACTTTCTACAGATATACTAACAACTGTGTGTGTGTGTGTGTGTGTGTGTGTGTGTGTGTGTGTGTGTGTGTATTAGTTTTATACAGACAGAATATTAGCATTCTTACTGTCCTGTGACTATTTTCCATTGTATTATATATTGGTAGACACCTTTCCATAAGGGTTTAAATAAGAGTTACCTCATTCTTTTGTAAATTACTACAACATATCCCACTGTGGGGCTGTACTTTAATTTATTTAATTGGTCCCCTGTTGATCAAGATCAATTTTTACTTCTCTAGTACAAAGCATCAGTGAGGGTCCTTTACATAAGTTGTTGTCACTTTGTGTTAACATTTCCATAAGTTTTTAAATTTGGTTCCTATAACACATTTGTAATGCAATGTTAATGCATTTTCTGTGAATGAGATCATAGAGACTGTATATTTGAGATCTTTTTCTTGGAGAAAAAAAAGATTATATAGGAGTGCATAATTTTAAAAGAAAAGCATCTTTTGCAGGATAGTTTTACTCCCACTTAATTAGCCAAATAAATACTTTGCCAAGACATCTAAAAGAAAATTAATGTTATTCTAATAAAAAATAAAATTTAATGAGATATCTATAAGATATCCAAGGAAGATACATTGATATTTGGATAGCCTCCTTTTAAAACTTGAGGGATTTAAATGAAATAACAAAACTGATCACGTTTGTCCCATTTTCTGGTAAACACTATCCGTGTTCATGCATGTTGCTGCACAAAGGAACTTAATTATGCCATTGTGAAAAGTAAGAAGCAATATCTTGGCAATTATGAATGGCCACCGTTAACTATAGAAAAACAAATGAGATGGTCTGCAGGTTTGGTGGTTTGTTGGATGTTTATAACTTGTGGAATAATGTGAAGCATTCCTTTTAGAGTGAAGCTTAGCAGTTCCCTAAGAACCTCTGCATTCGGACTTACCCAGAGGTCTCAGACCTTTGGTACAAGCAACATCGTGTTGCCACCACCTTGATTTTCTGATAAGTGCTATTGTATCCTGAAGATGGAATGGACAGGAAAACAATCAAAGGTAATTAAACACCACTGGGTTACAACCTGATATCTCTAATTGTGCTTTCCGGCTGAGGTATCAGGATTCAGTGGTGCCTGTCTGGAGATTCCTTGTCTGGCCACACCCACCATCTTTTGAGTCCCTAAGTCCCAGTTGAACCTTTATCTTTCAATCCTACCACCGAAATATATGCCCTTGGCCCCCCCTAAAATATCCCCAAACCACTGTAATCTCTTCTAGTCCTTGTGTTCTTCCCCCTCTCCCCCCCCCCCCATTTATCTCTACTCTGATGCTCTAGCTTCCGTTCACTGAAAGACAAGAGAAGAGGAAGGGGACACACGCACACACACACACACACACACACACACACACACACTGGCATGTGCAGAGCATCAGCATTCCTTCCTGACCTGTGTCACATTACGATACATCCACCATGACCATCCAGTTTCTCCTTCATTAAACAATTGCCATTGTTTTAGCATTGGACTTGTGTGCTGCCTGTTAAATTCATAATTATTATTTTTTTTTAATTAGTGGCCTAAATAGTACTACTTGGTATATTTCATCAAGGACTTCAAAATTTAAAATTAAATTACGCCAAAAGCCATTTTTAATTTTATAAACAAGCTGCACATATGCCTTAATGAGAGTCTTCCCATTGGGTTGTATGCCTGACCTTTCACGTTTGTGGCTGAAATCTCTCCCAGCTACGGAAAGTAATGTTTCCTGTGGTTAGCTTTATTGTTTTTGTGTTAATATCATAAACATAGCCTTAAAAGTCATTAATGCACTTTGAAGCAGTTGTGCCATTGAAGTATTTGGACAGAATGAAAGAAACTGGTTACATTTATTTGTGTCAGTTCTTTAAATGTGGGGAGCAATCTGAAGCTGAAAATTTAAAACAAGTAAAATATACCTGGAAATTTGAGGTAGCTGAGTTTCTGAAATTATAGCAATCCTAAAAATTGGTCTCTGGAGCTCAACTATAGCAAATAATAAATGCTACCTAATAACCTTTTTGGGATGTTTGTTTAAAACATCAAGTTAATTTCTACTGCAAGTTTTAACTGCATTTTTTGTATGTCACGAAATCTATCAAAGAAAGTCCACTAACGAGATATAAATGAAAACTATCACCAATGGCTAGTTTGAGAGTATTTGTTTTCCAAGTCTTCATAACTTAAGTATGGCGTTTTCCTCCTCCTATGGAAAGTAAGTTCCAAACTCCCATGTTTAATGTGTGTAACCACAAATAGTACTTTAGTAAGACAGAAATAGTTTCACAGGATCGTTAAGATCCGATCTGAACAAAAGCAGAGGCCCCAGAGGTGGGGAGTATTTAATACAGTGAAATGTCTTTTGGGAGCAAACCAATGATGCAGACCTTGAAAAGAGAAAGGCAGGACAACTCTTTGTAACTGTGGCTCTCGGGGCAGAACGAGACTCATTTCACAGCCAAGGGTGTGCCAGTGCGGCTCTTCCATGGCGTCCCACTGTGGGGAGGCCGGACGGGGAGTAGGCATTATCCAAGAAGCAGAGAGGCAGCAGGTCAGACCTGTGGCTGTCCATTTGGAGATAGTGCCAATGTTAGAAGCATGTAATTATGCTTATGACACACTACAAATGGGCATAAAGGCCAATACATTATTATTATTATTATTTTATTATTTTAAATACAAAAGATTGTCAGTGCTC